ATAAATAAAAACCAATGGGATTGGTAAAAGACACAGACATATCGTTCTGCATATAGTAAAAATGGCTGTGTAGATTGTATTGATGTTAGTTCATAATAACCGACACCAAACAATAATATTTAGATTGTGACTAGATATGCCCCAGGCCATTTAACTTTACACTTACATTTGTCAAGTCATCAAGTCAAATATAATTAAACAGTTATAAACTAGTTATAACAAATGACGTTTGTGTTGATACTTATGACCTAACCCGTTTAACCTTACATTGACATTGTTAACTGATCAAGTTAAACTAGAAATAATTAGAATGGCTTTTGTGTAGATACATATGACCTAATCAGTTTGAACATAGTGTAAGAATGTGTTATACGTCATGAGAACAAGAGTACAAGCGCTGTTATTACATGTTTACATGACCATTATTGACTTTTCCTTTAATCCATTTCCTTATTTCCCAGAAGTTGTGACGAGTGCCTCTACTCCTGTCATTATTACACTAGAGACATATAATATGTCCTGTTGCATATCCCATCATTAGACGATGGCTCGTTATGTGGTAAGCCACGTCTCGCGGCTTTAAATCCAGGTCCAAGTGAAATGCCCATACACCTCAATACATCGGGCGACTGTTTAATACCAGTTTTGTTTGGGACAAAGTTATTTACACAATTAAACTGAACTGATCACATTAAAATCACTAGTCGTCATTTGTATATTTCGAACAATAACAAAATTTCAAGACTTAGTCCACGCTAATATGTACGCAAATTGATTTTTAACACTTAATTAAAGATACATTATGGGAGATAAAGAGCTGGCAGTTCTCACTAAAATAGTTAAAAACTAGATAATGTAAAGGGAATTTGCTGAAAACTTCAGTCAAATTGATCCACTCTGAACCAAGAATTTAGCGGTTGAATTTTGGGCCTAGCCTCGATCATCATTACTGAAGTCGGTACGATAAAATACATAGTCTCGATTATCCATTTCTTGATTTAATCATAAATGAGTGTAGAGCAGCAGATCAGGTCCTAATCCAATAAATATCGCAGACTAGCGATGACATCGAGCATTGACCATGGTTTGGATAAGTTAATTAATGTCTAATTAATAAGTTAGATAACATTTCAGGCCCAAAGAAAGACCTGCAAAAGGCAGATGTAGCTCTTGCATAATGTATGTTTAAGAACAGAAAATAAAAACACAATACCAACAGAAGATAACCTTCTGACATGGATTAAATTGGATTATAAAGAGGGTGGTTTGCTTATTTCATCTGCAGAATATGTCGAATCTTGGGAATTTTAAACTCATTGAACCATTGTAGAACTATTATTCCTTTGAGAGGCCAAACTCTCACAATATTTGTAATCCCAGAGAACATGAACAGCAGCTTTATCGGTTATTTCAAGACAGCGAACCCATTCCGGTTAACAACACTACATCTTTATTTCTACGATATTGCTAAAGAAAATATGGAACCTATTTCTAAAACTGTATTGTGTGTATTTTACAGAAATATGACTCGAAGTTCCAGTACCCAGTCTTTAACGCAAAAACCAAAGCCAACAGTTACCAATCATTTCAAGGTTAGTAGACATAGTTTTGGTAAGATAAACTATTTTGCTACCTACCTATTGGCAAATCAAACTTTTAAAAAATATAGTCACGACTACCACAGTAGTTGGGAGTTCAAAGGCGAGTAGGCGGAAAGCCCGTTGGAATTATTTAGCTAGCCGTGAAGCAAAATCCTTTCGTAATTCAGAGTCACCATCAATTTTATTCATAGTTATTGCCCAGGGCTTAAACACTTATATCCCACATTAAAAATGTTCCTGTTGGCATACATACCTTTCCTGGTAACGCTATGCTTATGGCTAATTTCTGTGAACCATCAATTTATATTTACTGTCATATAAAACATTTAACTCACATAAACATTAATCAAATGACAGTTTAAAATTCAACACGTTTCCCCAAACATTTTTTGAACTCGAAAAACACCAAGAAGTCGTCAGTTATAAAATTCATGATGAGTTCATATATAACATTATTATAAATTCAGATATAAATAATTATATGAAGAAGGAAAAGTGGTTTGATTTTTTATCTGGGCGTATTTTTAATTTTTTTTATGAATATATTTACTTTACAGAGATCGTTGTTAGATTTGTTATCAAAGTTAAATGAAGCTGATCCTTTATTTGTAAGGTAAAGTACTTGTTATATCACCGTCTTCAATATCCCGTTTAGTGCAGAAAAGTAGGGCGTTAAACCCTAATTAATTTCATTTCACTTCTTATACCAATATAAACACGATCTCAGGGTTGTATGTACCCGCCATTGAACAAGGTCGTGGGTTTTCTCTGGGTACGCCGGTTTTCTTCCACTCATGTACTGAAATAAAAAATACACTGGTCCCGAAATAACCTATTCAGGGTTAACTCGACGTTATTTCTCTATCTTCATTCAGGTCTATACCGGAATTATATTCATAAACATGGGCACCAATGTTATATTTATTTACTTTTTTTATTTTTTCCACAGATGTGTTAAACCCAACATATCTCTAACTAGTGCTAAATTTGACAATGTCTTAGTAAACCGACAATTACAATGTAATGGTTTAATGGAAATAGCTCAACTTCGCAGAGATGGTTTCCCATTTAGAAGTAAATTTGATGATTTTGTGGATAGGTAAGCTACAGTAATGAACATTTTTTAGTGATTCAACTATTTTATTTTTATCTTTAATTGTTATAAGCTTATATTTAAAATGCGATGGATAGTTGAAATATATTTGTCGTTATATACCACAAGTTTCTATTCAAAATAGGATGGATAGGTGAATTCTGTTATTGGGGAAAACTGTTCAACATGAAAAAATTTAAACATCTGTTTAGCATACAACAACTTGTGATGTTTATTACATATATTCATCGCATTGTTGCTAATTTTGAACCTATTTGTCCTTATTCAGATATGCAGAATTATGCGAAAATCTTCAATTACAACATGGTCCCACAGCCCAATGCCAGAAAATTTTACAAGATTCTGGAATTAAAGATTATCAACTGGGAAAAACTAAGGTAAATGTGATTTTCTATTATCGTCATGATGCCTCCTTCGTGTATACCTGCGAAAATCTGAAAATAAAAAAAAATTGTGGAGAAGTCATTGGAATTAAGACGGACACTGTCAAATGATGCACTAAGTTCTGAAAAAAATGTTTTACTAAGTTCTGAAAAAAATGTTTTACTAAGTTCCAAAAAAAAAAATGTTTTACTAACTTCTCATTGAAAATGTTGTTCTAACTTCTGAATTCTAAATGAAAATGTTGTACTAACTTCTGAATTCTAAATGAAAATGTTGTACTAAATTCTGAATTATAAATGAACATGTTGTACTAACTTCTGAATAAAAAATGTTATATTAACTTCTGTATGAAAATGTTATATTAAATTCTGAGTAGTTTCACATGTTAGCTACCATGTCAAGGTGAACAGTGAAATGTATTCCAAATGTGGCTGCAGTGAGATGGCATCATTAAATACATATTTAGAATTTATTACGTCAGTGAAGATAGTTGTTTAAAAAACAAATGAGTTGTTATTATATATATACCATGTCTACATTCATGTTTTAATTTTACCCCGAGGCTAGATAGTTATAAACTAATACAATATGACAAATCATATAACCATAAGCTAATACAATATGGCTTAACATATTCATAAATATATGACCACAGGCTACAAATGTCGTTTTAATCTTTGAATAGCAACTATCAAATTCTCACTTATAGGAGTCAAGTCTTGATAGTAATCATTTTGTCCTCATATAACCCGAGGTTACTGGCAATCACAGAGTCTATCCAATCAAACAGCAGTAAACAGCCGGATTAAAATATACAATTTCGTAGTTGGGTATAGCTTTTAACTTTAAACAAAAAGATAGTTGGCCATGCATGTTAATATTTTTTTGTTTTTATTCAGGTGTTCCTGAAAACCTGGCATAAAGAAATCCTGGACTCAAATCTCAAAACCAAGGTAAGCGCATGCAATATAAATGAATTGTTTCAATGGCAATTAGTAATTGAACTTTAAATACGCTGGTTATAATTTTATAGACTACAGTTATTGTTTATTACCGAGCGACGTTTCGACTAGTCTGGATAAGAGAGAGAGAGAGAGAGAGAGAGAGAGAGAGATGGGGTTTAACGTCCACTCGACACAAACTAGGTCATTTCGGGACTAACATATGATTTAATTTTATTTCAATAATTCGCTTGCGTGTAGGGGTCTTTAGCAGTGGGAGGAAACCGGAGGGCCCGGAGAAAACCCACGAGGTTGGACAGGCCACCTTACTCCTTGTCACGTACAACCGGGGATTCGAAACCCCGCCAGTCGAGTCAATGACAGTCTGGATAAAGAAAGTTTAGATAAGCCTAGTGACATAAAGTACAATGCACGCAAGCGATCAATCAAGTTAAGTTGTATTTTAATGAGGATTATATTCATGTGGATTGATTACAAATCATTATTCATTTTTAGATTCAGGAGAAGAAACTACGTGAATCGAAAGCCTCATTGTTGAGTGCTATGAATGATTCAGATGAGAATGATATGTTTTCCCAATCTGTGGACAGTGGTCATGCGTCTAATGGTTATTTGCCCAATGGACATTTGTATAGTGAACATGGCAACAATAGGGGCGATCCTCTCGGAAAAAGGTTTTCGGTTCCAAATTTGGCTGTGTCGGGATTTCTACAAAGCACTTCAGCTCAAAGGAGGACAACGATGGCTAATATATCTGCAAGTCTGAACGGATTACTCAACGTTTCACCATCTCCAAACTTCTCAAGGCACTCATCTGGTCGGAGAACTAGTTCTTCCTTTACCGAAGGTCTTAATACCCCTACAGACAATATCTCAAATCGGTTAAACCAGACTAGTTATTCAGCTGATCACTCTTTAGCTGGGCAGTCCGACGATGATATGAGCACGGATACTGTGGAGGACAAACATTATGACGACGACCTACCTTATGATATACCAGAAATCAAGGTAAACGCCTCACCGTCTGAAACGAGTCATGAGGAATCTGATCTTCTAGATGAGGAGGAAGATGAGGAATTTGAAGATGACCAATGGTAAGATTATATCCAAATAATTGTTTATTAGACTATTGACGCGGGCGTTGTCCCTAAACAAGACGTTATTGTGCAATTTTAATCTGTTTACTACCAAATATAACTAAACGCCAGTAGCAAAATAATATTGTATGAGCTTCGTCTACACTAGGCTTGAAAAAGCCGGCTTTTTAAAAACCCGGTTTTTTCAAAACCCGGCTTTTTCAAGTGTAGCGTCTACACTGACTGAACGGAAAAAGACGATGAACACCGACGTATTCCTTCTTGAGCCGTTTTAACTTGCTTTTGACCTTTTCGGTGGACCGAGTGAAGCCAGCTTCGGCTAATTCAGCGCATATAACCCTGTAAATTTTATTGTCTTTGACAGTTCCATCAAACAAAGCTTGAATGTTCCCCCGCCCCCAAATCTCAATTAGCAATAAGCACTCCTCGTTAACCCATTTTAGGTTAGGCATGTTGAAATTAAATAGGCAAGGCTATAGATGGATTTGAGATTTACCGCAATTTCTTAGAACCGGAAGCAATGCCAATGTTATGAATGTACGGAAGCTCGGGACGAATGACATCCGGGTACTTGATAAATCCCGGATTTACCGTCTACACACATAAAATTGCCGGTTTTTTGAAAAAGCCGGCTTTTTGATTTTGAAAAATCCCTCAATAATTGCCGGATTTTAAAAAGCCGGCTTTTACGATTGAGAAATTGAAAAAGCCGGCTTTTAGGAAAAAGCGGGATTTAAAAGGCTAGTGTAGACGGTGAATGCTGCTAGTGTAGACGTAGCTATGGTGATAATAGATACTAGTAGATCAAAAGAAAGCTACCGTTCTATTTGACAAAAGGACAATGGCCAATACCATTAATCTTTCCAAAATCAAACGTTAAAGACTTAATTAACAAAATCATACTAACGGATCCCAACAATAAAAATAATTTCATCATTTGATTTGATTTTAGGAGACCTTATGATGTATTCCAAGTAAAAGAACGAGAACATGAGGATGACGACTCAATATTCAAAGAAATTCTAAAATGTGTCCGACTTTTCATGTACCTTTTTGTGGTGGTTGTAATACTTGGCAGTACTGTTGCCAGTCGACTATCTCTGATTCTCATAACGTCTGGAATAAAAGGGGTGAGACTTTATACATTTTATTAACGTTACTACCTATTCATTTGCTAAAGACTAAGCCTTTAGCTTAACTAACATGGACTACAACTAGTAATTGCTTACCCTGATCTCATGAATGTAGTCCGTATATTTATTATATTCTTTCTTCCTCCCTTTTCCCGCTTTTTGAATGGCATTTTTGTTGACCTTTCGATCTAGTAGAATTGGCGAAGAGTATTTGAATGTACGTTTTCGACAAGGTTTTGGTGAATAGTCATGATTTTTAGGGAAAGGACTAGGAATTGAACAGCTATAAATTGTGGAACTTCTTTTTAAAAATGACGTCAGGGTCGATAGATTCCTTTGACCAGAATATTTATGTTGTTTGATTGTGACGCGTGTGACTCTTAGTGGTTATACAAATTAAGTTCATCGGAATGTTATTTAAAATTGTTACAGGCAAAGGAATGACATGAATTTAACATTGAAGTCAATTGGGAGGGGATTACTTGAACGTGTATTAAACATATCATACCCTTTATTGTAGGATGAAAAGACTAGAGGAGAGAGTACGGTTATTCTCTTGTTTTGTATCTGTTCTCCCATAGTGTGGAACTGGCTAAATGCCGTTATGAAGATTTTGTTCGGTGGAAAGGAATGGCCGTCAATGAAGTTATTCTTTTTTGTAAGTAGCCAACAATATCTAGAATTTTCTTTCGTGTCATAAATCACATTCATTTAAGTTGAGTTTGAAATATACCTTAAAATCAGCCTAAAGTTAGTTCATATACAAACGTTAAACTTTATTTTTATCTTTATTTTTAGTTGTTTATATTTGAAGCGATGCAGACGGCTGGAATTTGTTTACTGATTTTCCGTTGTTTACCAGGTACGGACTTTTTCAGAGGCGTCACAATGACTTTTACCATATTCCAAATCCCCAGTATATTAAATTTAATATTTCACGAGAAAAAAATAACGTGTAGTATTTGGGATTTCTTAAAGCTGTTTTGTTCGCTGATAGCCTGTCTGTGTCAACTTGGTGCCTTGTGTGTATTTAGTATAACCGACTTCACTGCAGATGGTGGCCATACCCTCCTGAATCTTCTGGACAACAGCAGGACCACCATTACATTTGAATCATTGGATTGGGAATTACCCTTAGCGGTATTACTAATATCTGTTGGATGGATAGAGAATTTCATTTCTGGAGAATGGACACTGTTTGGTAAAGTGAAATCATCATTCCGAAATTGGCGTCACGAAGTCCAAGATGTTCGGGAAACTTCATATTTTCTTTTGGGACCCTTGAAGATTGGATTAACGGTACTGCTTGCCCATTTTCTTACTGATGCACCGTTCAGACTTCCTAGCGTTGATGAAGGCGATACTGATACAGACAAATCGATGCATCACTTAACGTCCTACAGTCTCATGTATATTCAGATCGGGTCTGGAATAGTTTGTACGTATCTTGCTGGTATGGCCTGCAAACTCCACATGCAGAAAACGGCATTTGCTTTACCGTTACTGATGTCGCCACCAGTCAGTTTAATGTGTATATATCTGCAGTGTAAATATATGTATTTACCATCCTCTTGGCATGTTGGTAGTTGGTTATGTTCTGAGGTCGATATCTATAAAATGATCATACCTCTAGGATGTGCTGGTGCACTCTGGATTTCCTACTGTTTGATTGTGTCACATATATGGTTTCCACAAAGTGAACGAATGGCGAAGATTGAAAAGTAAGTGGGCTTAACTTATGTTTTAAAATTAATCATTATTTGGAAACGGAATGCCACTGCTCCGGGGAAATACATCCATCCTCATCTGACGCATACTTATATAATTAATGTTAATTAATTTTGTTTCAAAATTTCTCATTATATACAAATTGAATACCACTGGTTCGGTGAAATAAATCTGACACATACTCAATATATTAATTGCTTACTGCATGATTCCTAACAGGCAACTTTCTGAGTATTGCCGAATCATTTCCCAAACCCAATTCAGTTATAAGATTTATGATGAACTTATAATTTTCAGATTGTTTATAACACCACACTATGATGGCATCTTTCCTGATTTTAATCTAACCATGAGACGAAGACGAATCGACCAAGAAATGAGACGAACTCGCTGTGACAGCTTGACAGGAAACCTCACGGATGACTACGTTGTACCGACGATATACGCATGTGCTACAATGTGGCACGAGACGAGACAGGAAATGACGCAGTTGCTGAAATCTCTATACAGGTAGGATTGTAAATAAAGAATTTATATCATGAATGGTTCTTTTGTTAGTGAAAACTTTATGTTTTGATCAACGTGTCTGCATGATAAAGGGTCTTACCACTATAACACTTATATAATTATTCTTTTTTAGATTGGATTATGTACAATGTGCCAGTAGATTAGCTCAACAAGAATTTAGAATTCGGGATCCAGATTATTATAATTTTGAAAGTAAGTAGTGATCATATTAATAACCTGTGACAGAATTAGGAATCGGCGTCCTTATTTTTCATTTTCTAAAATAAGTTATTACTCGGTGTCGGAATAGATCAAGGCAGTTTCTCGATCCCAATAAAAGTAATGGTTTAATGGTTAAGGCACTGGCGGCTCTATCCTTTGGTTCGTCCAGATGCTGGCCAAAAAGGCGCTTCGTGATTTTCCAGCGTGGTGTAACACAACAAGCGGATGGCTTACCCGTCTTCATTAGGCAGGTTGTAAATACCACGATTGTATTTTGATTAACAGCTGATTCGAGCCTTTTTTATTTGAAAATTTCAGTTCATATAATATTTGACGATGCCTTTGAAATAGATGACGACTTTAATAAATATGTTCCGAACAGTTTTGTTGAACAGTTGGTAGAATGTATGGAGGATGCGGCGAGGTAAATTATATCTATAATCTACACCCATTGTTAGATTCAATTAAAAGGTCAATAATGTATAATGCTGCAAACCTGTGTAGTTGAAATATACTAAATAATGTTATTACTGTTATAGTTGTATGCGGCTAATAGACCCCTAGTCCGTTCTAGGTCATTTACAATAAGTGCATCCCGCAAATCATTCTTGATTGCCACCAATTAAAATATATGATATGTAATGATAGATAGGTAGTCGCAGTAGCTTACTGACCAAGAGCTCTAGTGTTTAATTCCTGTATTGGCCGAGAACGTTCCTCGGTATTTTTCGTGAGGTTTCCACATTTCAGTGGTAGGCCTGCAGGATCTGGAAAGGAACAACGTCTTGTCGTTTGGAAGGCACAAAATAACCGAGATCCTGTGTATAGGTTCAGTTCTCGCGTGCACTAATTAACAGAACCCTTGTCGTTGTCTGGGCAAACTTCCCTGTATGACACATCCTCGTCAGCTTATGCAGGCAAGTAGGACGTTAAACCCCATTTCATTTCATATTATGATATTAAATGTACGATTATATGGAGCCACGGTGGCTTAGTGAGTAAGGCGCCGGTTCGCCCCCGGTGTTGGCCGAGAAAGTTCATCGGAAATTTCGGTCGTTTTGCAAGTGTCAGTGGTGCAGGACGGAGGGCCTGAAAAAGACAGCTGTCTAGTTGTTCGAATTGGACGAAAACCCGAGTTGCCGTGTACATACTGGCGTGCACGTAAAAGATCACATGTCCGGGAATATTTTTTCCTCATAGCACATTGCATGGCGCATGCCCGTCTTCATTAGCCCAACCGGAGCAGAACAGTAAGACGTTAAACCTCATTTCATTACATTTCACTTTTTATTTAGATCTGTTGTTAAAGGACCGATCATTATTGCACCACCAGTTAAAGTTCCCACACCATATGGAGGTCGTCTGGTTTTCACTATGCCTGGTCAAACACAGATGATTATACACATCAAAAACAAAAACATGATACGTCACAGAAAACGATGGTCACAGGTATGAAATATATTTTATAAAATTCGTCCATCTGATACCCTCGGGGTACATTTCTTGACAGTCTCTTTGGGCTGATCGACGTTTCACTCAGCACTGTCCACATTGCACATGTATGCGCAACACCACTACAGACTTGCGACATGGCTAGGATATCCAAGTATATTGGTATAATTTCATTAATTTTACAATCTATAAATTTTAAAGTGTAGAATATAAACTTAGGCAACGAATGGCTCAGAGTTGTTGTCATCCGACAACTTTCTAATACGCTGCACACTGACAAGACAATGACAATAGTGGTGATATAACATCTGTTCTGATTAAATTTTAAGTCTTCAATTTTAATTTGACTTGCCATTAAAAACAATACCCGTCTAGATAAAAAAAAATACGTTGTGTGGAGCGATTATATGAACTAATTATGCTATACAATTATCTATATAAAATGCATGTGTATGATAATATTTAATATAACACCTGGTATTTTTTTAGTGTATGTACATGTATTATCTACTGGGTTACCGTTTACTGGGTGGTAAGGATTCAGATATGAGAACTGTTGATGAAACTGAACTACATGAAGATATCGAGAAGAATAACGTCCGAAACAGAAAAAAAGGCAAATCTAAGAAAAGGCAAAAAGCTGCACCACTAAGATCGTTGTTGATGAGGATGACCCCCGAAAAATATGAAAAGGTAAACGTAAATACTATACTGTGATAAATAAACGGTTGATATATGTAGGTAATAATTAGTCATTAAATGTCGTTTGCATGACATATGATTTGAGAACACAATGAAGCTACTGTGGTGATTTGATTTCGTTTATCTTGTCGTACGTGATGCGAGAAAATGCGTTTGTCCTTTGGATAGGATATGATCGGAGAACACTTTGAAGCTGACAGGGGGATTTAATTTTGGCCACTGGGATATACAAAGCACAAACCTCATTGACAATTATGTAATTATACACTTATAGAAGCCTCGGTCAGTATTGTATATTTGTTTCATATGTCGTAGGTGATGCAAGAAGCTGAAAATACATTTGTCCTGGCTCTTGATGGTGATGTAGATTTTAAACCGGAATCTGTGAAACTATTAATTGATAGAATGAAGAAGAATAAGAAAGTTGGTGCAGTTTGTGGAAGAATTCATCCTATAGGATCAGGTAATAATTAATTCTACCATTAGAAGTGAAATCAGAGCTACGTAAAAATAACTTAGTTTATCGCAATTGGTATGCATCATGGATATGCATTTGTAATTATTTATTTTACTTTTTCGGTATGATTTGAACTATTATTGAAATTAATTTTATTTCCACAGGTCCGATGGTTTGGTATCAACAGTTCGAGTATGCTATTGGTCATTGGTTACAAAAGGCTGCAGAACACGTGTTTGGTTGTGTTTTGTGTTGTCCTGGATGCTTCAGTTTATTTCGAGCATCAGCACTCATGGATGATAATGTAATGAAGATGTACACAACAAAACCAACAGAAGCTAGACATTATATCCAGTTTGAACAAGGTATATATTTATACAGATTCTATGACACTCGAATTCGCACACTACTTTTTGTGGATATCTCTATGTCTAGAGCCCAGTTTGTTCTTAACAGGCCTGACAAGGACAGCTGTCTAGTCGTTCGGATGGGACGAAAACCCGAGGTTCTGTGTACTGTGTACACATTGGCGCGCACGTAAAAGATCCCTTGACAGTTGGAATTCGATATAAGCGTAGGACATAGTGCCGCTGTCCAGGCAAAATTTCCCCCATAGCACACTGTATGGCGTATGCCCGTCTTCATTAGCACAGTTCGGAGCACAACAGTAGGACGTTAAACCCCATTTCATTTCATTTCATTTGTTCTTAACACCATGTGTGTATTTTGTATATTTTGAACATTAATATACATGACTGTATGGTTTGGTTTTTCAGGGGAGGACAGATGGTTGTGTACTCTACTTCTACAACAAGGTCATAGAATTGATTACTGTGCTGGTGCTGATGCCTTGACCTTCGCCCCCGAAACCTTCAACGAATTTTTCAATCAGCGGCGTCGCTGGTCACCTTCGACTCTAGCTAACATGATGGATTTGTTATCATCCTGGCGGGAGACTTGTAGAATCAACGATAACATCAGTCGACCATATGTGCTGTATCAGTTTATTTTGATGGCTTCAACAATCCTTGCCCCGTCTACTGTTGTTCTGATGATAACTGGATCCTATCATTCTGTGTTTGGTATAGGCATCTGGTGGTCTTATATTCTCTCTGTTATACCAGTTGCTATATATATTATCATTTGTATGACTCAGAAAAGTAACTATCAGATCACGGCAGCTGCTGCCCTAACTGCCCTTTTTACGGTGGTGATGATGATAGCTACAGTGGGAACAGTCATTAGTATTGCTACAGAAAGTTTCAACAGTCCGAATGTGGTGTTTTTGAGTGGTCTTGCTGTTATTTTTATTATTGCCGGGTTGCTGCATCCTCAAGAATTATTCTGTTTAATTTATGGCATCCTGTACTTCATGGTGGTACCATCGACATTTATCCTGTTAACAGTCTATTACCTATGTAATCTTAATAACGTATCCTGGGGAACTCGAGAAACTCCGAAAAAGATGAGTCCAGAGGAAGAAGCCGAAGCAGAACGACTAGCTCAAGAGAAAGCTAATAAAAAGTCTAGAAGTTTCTTTAGCTTGTTGGGTATTGTGTCAATCATCAATGAATTACGAGATGCTATAAAAACATTAATGGGTTTGAAGGACGAACTGAATAATAAAAACAACCAAAACGCACAGCAACCGTTGAACACCGGTAACTCTAAACCTATACCACAGCCACCACCACCACCACAGCTTCCTTCAAACGCTGCTGTCCCAACTGTCCACCACCCACCAGTTCAGGCACACCATTCTAGTAGAAGCTCTAAAGTTGTTCCTGGTTATGAGGCCGATCCTTGTAATCCACACTGGTTGTCGCTCGAGTTCGTTGGGAACGGGCCCGTAGAAGTGTTATCAGAAACCGAGGAAGAGTTTTGGCAGTATCTGATAAAGAAGTATTTACATCCATTAAACGAAGATAAAGCTCATAAACTGAAGATAAAGGAAGACCTCATTTTGATAAGAAATAATGTTGTATTCATCTTTTTCATGTTAAATTTCTTGTGGACAGTTCTGGCTTTGCAGCTTCAAAACAACCAAGGAAAGCTTAGCAGTTTCTACATTGTGGAGAAATATGAACCGTTATCTTTGGCTTTCCTGACAATTTTTGCCCTGGCTTTATTTCTACAATTTGTGAGTATGTTCTTGCATCGATGGGGAACGTTCTTGCATTTGATGTCTAGTACAAGAATAGACTGGCTGAAGAAGACTCACACGGAAGAAGACTTTGCCAGATTCGTTGTCAGCGAAACTAGAAAATTACAGAACTTGGAGCCCGAACCGGATTATGAAAATGACGATGACAGTTACTCTGTAGAGATGACCGAAACTGAAATGGATGATTTAAGTTCTATTCATTCGGATTATTACGAAGGTTACAACAGGCGTACATTACGGCGTTTGAGACATCCATCACAGAATGATGACGTCCCCGTTCTTCAAACAATATTTCAACAAAATCTTCAAAATCTGCATCATAAATGGAAGCAGGGCACTATTCGACCAAACAGGGGCGGTGAAAGTTATCGTCGTTGGGGCCAACCAACTGCAAACGCTATGAGAGAAAGACTATATACCCAGAGCTTTCAACCGGAACCAAGGGATAGGTTTGACGGTATACGAATTGTATAGTTTATAAAATTGTCCAACTTTATTTGAACTGTGATATTGTAACTGAGCACCCACTTTATACGTATATTTATATATACAATAATACTTATAAAGATAATATATATATATTATTAATTTATTTATTAATAAAAATAATAATGGCATTTTGCCCTTTCCATATTGGATAAAAGATAGTTTTGAATAAACATGAATGTGTTACAAGGTGGGGGGACTTCACGCAATATTTGAGCCGTGGGCTGGAACTAATTCTGGTATTTGAGGGTAGAAATCAATAATATACTACTGAATTCGATTTGGAACATTTTCTTCTTAAACTAAACAGGTGTTCGTCTTTCTGTCTGTCTGTCATATCTTTTTGAACAAAATAATTGTGCGTCTATATTTGTGACACTATGCAGACTACGCTTGCAGGATTCCTTCACCTTTCTTAGACTGACTCACGGTTCTTGCTACTAGTTATTTCTGGAAGAGGGCTACTGTTGTATCACGGTACGTTAAAAATGATATCCTATTAATGATCAGACATCAAATCAGAGGTCTCCGCACCTTTGGTACAGTACAAATTAGCCCAATTTCATAAAATTAGGGTAGACATAACGGCGTGCTCTAGTGCAGCTCTTGCCCAAACATGTAAATTAGACCAGCGCGTTATTCCCGGGAGACAGTTGGGCGAAATAGCCAGGGTAGACATCAAAGGTTTTAATCATGGTTAACGTTTAAATACCTAAATAACCATTGCTGTGTCGATGTTGTAGAATGTATCATTGTACCCTATAAAGATACCTCCAACGTATAGAAAAGAGTTTGCAGTCTTATTTATCACAACGTCAAGTCCTACTCAGACACACGACAGTGTGACACGGAAGATTTGGCCGTTCGGACACAGTACGTGTCCCCAGAGTGTCACATTAGTTCTAATACATATAAAATGTTTAAACTGGATGTAGATGTTGATGATGATGAGCATGTGCTGGCTGAGACTTAAGAAACATAATTCTGTTCAACATCACAACTAAGTTCGATAATCCTGCTCGTATAAAAAAAAAGCAGTGAGACAAATACTTTGATTGCCAGATGATTTATAAGAACGATAAATTTTAATGAGTCAACTATTTAGTGTTGAATGGAGAGAGGGGTTTTGGTGTCATCAGCTTTACTATGCACTGGTTAACACTTATCACAGTTACCAACCCTCATTTCGGTACAAGACTAACCCCAAGTGTATTGATAATTCATCCTATTTTTTTCCATGCCAATGTTTGTTGACATTTGGTTTAAATTCGATGATAAATTTTGTCCAGTTTTCGTGACTTTTGGGCGAGAGAGAGAAATGGGGTTTAACGTCCACTCGACACAAACTAGGCCATTTCGGGACTAACACGGTTCAATTTTATTTCAATAATTCGCTTGCGCGTAGGGGTCTTTGGCAGTGGGATGAAACTGAGGACCCGGAGAAAACCCGCGAGGTTGGACAGGCGACTTTACTCCTTGTATTTTTGGGCAAACGGATAAAGATATAAAACCGGACGTTGTAATAAGGTAACCCAAAAATGGCTCGAATATTGATTATGACTATACAAGACTGTGATCAAATTGAATATGGTGATCATAACACAGGAGGTGAGATATCCAAAATTTAGGAAATGTGCAACAGTATGTAGAAGTTAACATTGATTTCAATCTGTAGTTGTCTCCCCTTACTTGCATTGCCTGTAGGAATCGATACTCGTGAAATAATGTGAAAGTAAATAAAACTGATGTTGGGAGTTCCCGTAATGCTGTATTGAAATATCTTGGATATATTTCGCATGTGTAGCGGTACAAAGAAAATAGTTGGTGCAGCCTTGCAGATGCTGGTCATTTGTGTACTTTGGCGACAAGTGTAACCATCCCTTATAACATCAAAAGACGACACAATATATTAATAATCTTAACTTAGAATTGTTTAAGAGAGAGAGAGAGAGAGAGAGAGAGAAGTGGGGCTTAACGTCCACTCGACACAAACTAAGTCATTTCGGGACTAACATATGGTTCAATTTTATTTCCATAATTCGCTTGCGCGTAGGGGTCTTTAGCAGTGGGAGGAAACCGGAGGACCCGGAGAAAACCCACGAGGTTGGACAGGCGACCCTACTCCTTGTCACGTACAACCGGGGAATCGAAACCACACCAGTTGACTCAATGACAGACTTTATGATACAGCGCGCACGTGCTAACCATTCAGCCATCCAACCCCCCAGAATGGTTTAAACTAAAATAAACATATTGAAGTTAAAGGGAATATGGTTTCATTTCATACATTGGAATAATTTACCGTATAAACTAAAACTCCAAGGAACTAGCCGCGTTAGGCGTCTTGCTGCATATTCTGTGCTAATCTAAGATTAAAGTTATAATATTGTTGTAAAAGTTTAAAAAAAAAAACTTCGAATAAATGTCATATCTAAAACTGATTATTTAAACAATTTATTATTCATTAAGGTGTATAGAAAATTATACAAAACATTATCGCGATATTAACAATATACAATTGTAGTGGTCAAAGGAGAGAGACAAAAATACAATAAATTTTTTATCAAATGAGCATCATTTGGAGATATAGACCAAATAAAATATAAAATGAGATATGCCTTAATTCTTTTATGTACAATTTAATAAAGATGCAGAAAACGTTACTATTTATAAGGCTTTAAACCGTTATATTTAATTTATCCACCCGGTCCGTTCCGAATAAAGAGTGCATTTTTAAATAACCTATTAATGAAATATATTACATCAAATTCATTTTGTAAATTTTGCTTGACTTTCACTTTAAAAATAATATTAAATTTCGTAATAGTAATAGTATTGGTTTTCTAGCCCAATTTGGAATTAACGTTCATTGAGAAAAGGGGCATAACCGAGTTTTTAATAAAATAAAAAACACGGTCTTTCTTTCTTCTATTTTGACGTAAAAATCTGATTTGAATTTAAGTTTATTTTTGATATTGTACTGCAGGAAATTAAAGCTTTTTGCCTTATTTGTGAAACTAATATTGCCCTTCGTAAAATGAATTTTGCCCTTGTTCGCTTGAAGAATATTATCAAGTTGTTTTGTATCTTAAAGGATTAAAACATGGTTAGAAATTAATTATTCTTAGCCTTTGTCTGACTTATTTAAGACTATATAAAGATGGTGGCAAGTACATTAGGATTGACCGATGTTAATTACATTTGTATCAATTTTAGGTCTGATGGCCTGGAATATTACGCGTTTAATAGGTAAATGCAGCAATGTGATTTTGCTGACGTGTGCCTGTTGCTCCAAACATCAAAAGGTGATAAAATACAATTTGATCAAATGAGTCGCTTTTAAATGTCAATATAAATACAGAATTATACGTAATACATATAAACCTTTAACCATAAAAATGTACAAAAATACAATAATTTACAAAAGGTAACAATTGATATGTACATGAACAATAACGATATATACAAACCATAGTATTAAAATAAAAATGTATACAAATTGTACAAAAATATAACAATGAGACTGTCTATATTGATTTATCCAAAAGTTTAACATCGAGGAGATCGTTAACATTTGTTTTTCTTGCAAAAAGAAACAAAAACAAACAAAACAAAACAAACAAGTCATCAGATATATTATTGACATTTGACTGTGTTAACGCGTTATTTCTGTCGATATTCATATCCAACATAATTTCGAACTAGCAATAACGCGTGGCAAGATTTATCTTAAAAAAAAAATAACCGAAAAATAATCAAATCAAAATCAGTGACTAAAGGTATAAAATGGGCAAGATGTTTACATCTATAAGATGACTGAGAGTGGTTGGCACTCACAACAAAACACAACACAAGGTATACATGGATTTATCACCCAATAACACATTCTATAGTAGATATCGCTTTTGTGAAAATTTCATTTTCTACTTTACAATTAAAAGGGACGGAAAGGGTTGGGTGATAAATAAAATCTGCTTATCGTTATTTTTTATATCAAAAAGAAACAACACTCGTCGATAAAATAAAAGTAAAATTCGATAAAGCCTCGTTCTTATATACATTTTCGATATGTGTTGATATTTTTTAATATATAACAATCTGATCAAAATATAGATTTGTATTTCGTTTCGTATTTTATAGTTTCGATGGCCTCCACTACACGAAGATCTGACCCTATGATATCAGACATTTGATTAACCAATCAATCGCCGTAACAGACTCTCACATAAACCTGAACGCGGATTATATAACAACTCTTCCAGATCCTAGTGTAGTAAAGACAAGTAAAATGAAATTTTGAACTATAAAAAAAAACGAAACGGAATAGGATCTGTGTTTTAATCAGATTGATATAAAAAGGATCGTCTATATAACTACTTTCGTAACGGAGTAGTAGTTTTAGCCATATATACCTTGCCCTGTGTGTTGTTGTGCTAGATGTCATTTAAATAAATGATTAACATGACTAGTGTGTAAAATAGATTTTTCAAAATGGAGTATACATATTGATTATTGGAGGACATCAACTCGGTATTGAATAAAACAACTGAATAACAAAATTATTTGTTAAAATATAAACAGGGCCTCCAGACTAATATACCAGGAAAAATAATGAACCCGTTATTTATTAAGAATAGCTCCACGTAGTTAAGCACTTTTTTATTTTTGACATCTGGTTTATGTGTTGGCATTTTCTGAATTCACCGTGTTTTTATAATTTGCATTTGCTTTAATTGTGTTTGTTCTGTCATGTGTTATGCGAATGTTTTGTTTCTAGCGTCAACCAGTACAATCATTAGTTCTATACATAAATAAAACTAAACAAATTTCAGCAAAATTTATAAAAAAAAAAGAATTTTGTGCACGCGAGTCGTTCGCTTAAAGGTGGATATAATGAGATCATTTACATATATACATAATAAATTAAAATACATTTTCTTTTGTATATTTATGCATTTTCGATATTTACATATTAATGTACAAACATTTATACATTACGATATATTGTACAATGTTTAAAGCTGTATCCTACTTATAGCCACGTAAGCTTGATATTGAACAATTATATATAACCGAAAGAGGACATAACGCTTAAAAAATATTGAGCCAAAGCACGACATTTAGATGTTTTAATTCGGAAAACACGCGCACGTTAAACCCGGCATACACGAGTGATTTCCCGTAGGCAAGTGGTCAAAAGTTGCCCGCTGTCGTGCCACTGCGACGACAACAGATATTGACGTTTGCTGCTGGTTACATGTTTCCAGATATCAGACGAGTTGGACAAGGATAGGGATGACAATCCCTGAACCGTGCCTACACGTTCCTATGCGCTCATACAGTCGCGAATTTGACAGCATCTTTAGTTGCCTACGATTGCTCGTTGCTCCAACAAGCAAAATTAATCGTCCGTGTGTGCCAGGCTTTAGTAAGAATGTGTTTATTTTAATCTATTTATTTTTTTTTTATTTCTCATATTAGTGTCGGCGTCGTATTTCACATTCTTTGATAACAATGTTTAAATTTCAATACTTCATCTAATATTTTCAAGATATAGTTTTGTTTTCAGATGATATTTATTTGAAACTTATGTTAATTTTCGGTAACCAATCTTTTAGATTTCTCTGTATATTAGCAATATATCCTCTTCGGTATAATCCAATATTACGCCGACCAATATAGTGGTCACAGGAATCCAATCCAGCATTCCCCTTTATTTTGAGCGGAATTAATACCGCTAACCAATTATTAGTTAAGGCAATCTATGATTCAATTGACACAATGAAATACAATGAATTGAAGATGACCGTGCTCTGGTGTTTCCTATGGTGAAGAATTGGCGTAGTGAATTCATGGCGGTGATAGACTTGGCAAGATCGATGAAACTTGGCGGGAAAAAAGTTGAGTTAAACATAAAAAGAACAGTGGTGATTTAAAGAAAAACAGAACAACAGTGAAAAGGCAAAGTATACTATCAACTAGAAATGCTATCGTAAAAGAAATAGAAACTTTGATAAATTGACAAAGCTCGAAATACAAATCCTATAAGAGCCAATGAAACAAGCAACATGCGGTTAAAGATGGTGATATTAATATCGCTAGCAACCCTTACAGCGCCAAACATATGAAATTTAATTTCCATCAAGGTCAGAGACTCGTATTTAAAAATATTTACGATGAGTGGGTTCCAGTTGATAAAGGTAATTCGTTTAAAACGACCAACTTTTATTTGCGTTACACACAGCTGTACTAAAGAGTGCTAAACGCGGTTATAAATTTGTCAAGCACGTATAATATTTCTTTATTTGCCTAAGGGTCGATATTTTGTGTTTATGTTAAAACAATTAAACTGTGGTCGCTAGCGAAATCATAAAAAGAACATTGACAAGATGACGAATGACACATGCGCAGCTGAAATAAGAAAAGCAGTGATGATATAAGCGACCGTGTCATTTCAACTATAGTTGTAGCCAAGCGCTCCTTGAGTATGATACCACTGTAAAACAACCTAAATCTAAAGAAACGGTTATTCCTCATCAAATCACTAAAAGCCTAATCTAAAAATGGCAAAAACCAAGGCTACAAATGTTTATAAAGAAATAAAAAAGGACCAAATTCTTTGGTTGTATTTATATACACCGTATCTCCAACTTGACTAAACATGGGCTCCATTTAAGAGACTTTAAATACCAACAAATAAATTAAATAATCCCCCGAAAAAAATACTTACACTATATACACGAACATACTGAGAAAATTCCTTTACAATTTCAAAACTTTTTAAAATACTTACTCCTTAAAAAAAAATATCGAAACTTACTTTTTTCCTTAAGTCTATGTTCTGCTTAATCATTTTACTAGTAATCTTATTATCCTTAAACCTTTTCAAAGATGCAATGACTTCAAATAAATTTGTGCGACATCTAGTACATGAATATTCTAATAGACGACCATATGGTGATTAAGATGATGATGCTGATAAAGGAAGGGTTCTTGTTGTCTTATTCTTGAATCACCGATCCAGTGAATGCTCTTTGATTATGTGTCTCCGGTGCATAAATTGCTTAGCTGACAATTTTTTTTATAACTACAATATGTTGCGGGTGCATTTTACACACCGAACGACACAGCAATCAACGATATCCAAAATAACTGAACGTCCCTTCATCAACTTGTATTAGTAAGGATGAATGCAAGAAATCACTTACCCTGATCATGCGATTACAATAACGACAGTCATGCAATAATAATAAACATATTCACATGTTGTATTTACAAAAATATACAATGCATTCAAGATGCATATGGGAATACTTAAAAATATACATTATGTTGAACCATATATACATACGTTTTCACTTGACATAGTACATACTCGTAAGATGCTCTTATTTTAAACACACGCACACTTTTTATCCATTTGCCTCATGTTTACATGCTGATAGGCTAAAATATTATTATCAAAAGTATTATTATTACTTAAATCTTACATGATCACACCGATACAGAAGACCTGGTACCTAGATTCCTGACGTACAGGCTGCGCTTTGGTTTCTCCATCGCTCTGAAAGAGAAATAAAACTATCTGTTGTACTATTATGTTCACGACTTTTGAAATCTGGAATAAAATGTGGTTAGGAAGTTAATAACATACTTCAACCCCGGTTACGTACGCTGACAATACGCCAAGAATCAACAAAATTAAGCATAAAAAACGGACCCGATGATTCAGCTCAATCGGGTTTATACATTTTGCGCTTAAAACACCATGCTTTTGCTGCACATATATTTAAGAAATGGCTTTATATCACCTGCTGGAAATTGGATCAGGTGATGCGCTAGGTTATCTGATCTTTTAAAGACCGAAAAATGTCATTAAAATGAGTAACATAGATTATAAAAGGCCAATAACCTCTGAAATAGCAGCCCGGTATATATAACACGGATACATTAATATGCAATATATAACATATAATCCATGCCTGAACACAATATACATATATATAAAAACTTATTAAACTGCGCACGCCACCTATGATTGTTTGCGATCATTATAATGATCTAATAATAAATACACCTTTTCACCACGCTGCGGCACCCTAACATGAATTTCCGTTTATGTCATATGCAGTTTATTGATACGCTTTATGCAATGTACAATGGATTAGTTGAGAGACGACAGGTTGCAGAAAGTATATGACAAATCCAATATTGTGATAGCAAGGATGTTAGTTGTACGTGCACATGTTCTTGATCCATGAATAAATATGATGACTGGCTTAATGAGATATTTTGACATTAGAACGTTAATTGGTTAAACAAAAGACCAGATAAGAGAAGAGAAAGAGAAAGAGAGAGACAATACATAAATGTCATGAACAAGCGAACAGTTATCATACGCCGCGTGCAGTACAGGCTTATTTGAAAATACAACGACCACAACTTACCGCTTGGTCAAATGAATATATGCGCTGAAATAAAACTATAGAAATGGGTTAATATGAGTTGATCAAATGAAATTAATACACATATTGATAAAATGTTGGGTTTCCCAATTCCAGTATATTTAATACCAAAATTTTATCAATATGTGCGTTTTGTGCGATGAATCCTACCTGTGTGCTGTGCAATCTAAAGCGAAGGATACATTGATGAAGACATAAAACGCGGTGGTCTTCCTAACCTCTTCTTGTGGATTACGGTAATTGCGATACCAAACACGATAACAGAAGGTATACCAATAACTAATGCTGCTACGATTGGCCAAAAGCTGTCATTGTTTTCTTCTGATGTTGGTGCCATTCCTAAATCACTCGAACTAGCTGCTGTACCAGACTCCATAGATGTTAAAGGTGTATTAAGGTTCGGTTCCGTCACTAAATTTGACGTTGTCGATCGAATCGTTTGAGTTGTGTTATTTTCAGAATCTACACTAATACTGTTTGTACTGGGCTTAAAGGACTGGGTTTTAGGCGGTTGTTGAGTTGTTGATTTAATTTTGATGTTGTCTGTTGTGGACGGTGGTTTAGGTGTTGTTGGTGATGGTTGGGGCGTTGTCGATGGTTGCGTAGAAGACGTAGGGGGTGGTTTGGGAGTTGTTGACGGCCTAGTGGGTGTGTTCGTCGTTACCGTTGTACTCGGTGTTGTTGTGGTACTCGGTGTTGTTGTGGTACTCGGTGTTGTTGGTTTCGTCGTTGTAGATTTTACAAATGGCGTAGTTTGTTCTTCTGTTGTATCCGCTCCCATACTTGCTGTTGTCGACGGTGTATATTCTGTGACATTTATAGGTGTTGTTGGAGATTTTCCTGGTGTTTGGCCTGGGTTGCCTGCCGTACTTGCAGCTACGGGGACGGCAGATGTTGTTCTTCTTCCTCTAGGAGGAGTATATGGGGACTTAGTGATAGGCCCATACGTAGAACTCTTTGGTGTTAGTACGTCAGTTATCGTAGTCTCCATAGTTATTTCTTCTGCTAAATTGTCATCGACAACTTCTGATACCCCAGCTGTCACATTTGGATCTGCGGAAGGTGCTATAGCTGTTGGACTAGGGGGGACTCCAGTTTTATCTACCGAAGCTCCGTTTTGCTTATCAGCTACATCGTCCCAAAAACTTTTAGCATGTGGCTCAGCAGTGGTAGTTGGTGCAGCTGGTGTGAATTCTCTACCTTGTATATTAGGGTTAAAGAAATCTTTACCCGCTACATCTAAAATCTCATCATTCTGAACTGAAGGGAAATCTTCTTCTTTGGCCACGTAACCGGCAGGTATTGAACTGGGATCAGGATATTCCAAACCGACTTCTCTTTTTCGGCGAACAATAGGATGGTTGCTAAGAAGATACGAAATAACCTGGAAAGGGTTTTTCAAATCTTCTGGCAAATTGCATACTCGATGAAACTCAACTTCTAATCTGTAAAATGAAAACAAAAATACGTTAAGTCACACTATTCAATGAGTGCCGTAGGTTTTAAATGTTATATTCTTAAAATTAATTATTCTGGACATAAGGGAATTGAAACGTACTTGGTCTTGTGTTGTTTTCCCACTGTGTTTACATAGGTTTTAGTATTATCATCACTGGGATCAATAAGTGTTTCTATAGAGAAGTCATCAACTTCATTTACTTCATCTTCGAATTGAATAAAGAGCGATAAGTCCATGGATAGTTCACTGTCGTTCTGAAAACAAAATAACACTAAATTACTCAGATACCATTACAACGGGCACACTTTGTTATATATACATGGGACTTGTTTTAAACTGGAAGGTTCACTTTTAATATTTTTTATTTTATTTTTCAGTCCGTCATTGGATTTTGTTTTCTAGACGAGCAAACATACAAGTATAGCCTGTACACTCAATATGCGCGAGGCAGCGTATAACCTTTTAAAAGATTTCTCTTTTCCAAAAAGGATTACATTAGAGCCATTTAGTTACTGGATAGAGCAATAAACTATAACACAATCTTAAGCTTGTTATAGTTTATTAAATCGGAACGTTCACCTATAATATCCCGTTTTCATTCATTTATTTAAAATTGGAACAGTCTCGTTTTACAATATTTTATGTAGATTAATACACACAATAGAAAATCCCCCCCTTCGTTTTTCAAATGGGATCTCTTTCAAATTGTAACGTTCTTCACCAATATCAGTTCCCGTTTTACTATGATTTATGAAGATTGTTACACAAAAATTTAAGCAGAAACGCTTTCTTATTTATTTAACAGTGTCCCATCTTTATATCAAAAACACAACCCGGTAAAGTCTATTTATTTACAGACAAGACAAACCATTATTCAAATACTCAAACTTCAAATCCGCACAAAAATGGTTCAGCAAATACGAGAAACTTTTGTTATGAATAGTTATTCAAGACTTCACGTAGCTTACAGGCATATGTGAAAACTAAATACTTGAATGATGTGTTACGTTACAGTTCAAATATTACACATTCAGGTGTAGGATTTTTGGTTGGATTTATTAACGAGGGTGGATCATCTAACTTGAAAACAAACACACTGGCACTCTCGACTTGTGCTTAGACCTATATGTTCTATACCTAACATGAAAAAAAAACTTATGTCGAGGGTCGTGTCAGTTCTTCGCTTCCAATTGCTAGCCACTAAGACTCCCAAAACATGAGAAGAGATATCACTTGTTTTTGAAAGAACATACACAGCCCATCAAGTGGTTGGAGTCCGATACTCTCAAATGGGGCCATTTTATTACCTAATCTATGTGTCAGTAACGCCACAAGAATGGTTGTTTTTACCAGGGTAGTAACATCGCGCGAATGATTACATTGCCAGCGTACCACGAACATCGTGAGAGTGATTTTATCGCCCAGTCTAGGTAGTAATAGTAACACCGTGAGAATGATTTTTTTATTACCAGGGTACTAGTGAGAATGGTATTAATGTCCAGGTACAAGTAACATCGTGAGAATAATTTTATTACCAGGGCACCAGTAACATCGTGAGAATGATTTTATCGCCCAGTCTAGGTAGTCGTATTAACATCGTGAGAATGATTTTATTACCAAGGTACAGTAGCATCGTGAGAATGGTTTTAATGCCAGGGTACTAGTAACATCGTGGGAATGATTTTATCGCCCACTCTAGGTAGTAATATTAACACCGTGAGAATGATTTTATTACCAGGGTAATAGTAACATCGTTAGAATGGTTTTAATGCCAGGGTACAGTAACACCGTAAGAATGATTTTATTACCGGGGTACTAGTAGCATCGTGAGAATGGTTTTAATGTCAGGGTACTAGTAACATCGTGAGAATGATTTTATTACCGGGGTACTACAGTAGCATCGTGAGAGTAATTTTATTACCGGGGTACTAGTAACATCGTGAGAGGTATTTTATTACCAGGGTTCCAGTAACATCGTGAGAATAATTCACCAGTCTAGGTACTAATAACACTGTGAGAATGATTTGAATAAAAGAGTACTAGTAATATTTTGAAACTTTGAAAACGAAGAAAGGGGAACTACAACAACTAGGAAAGCAACATTCTGTTGATAAACATTCAATTACATTTACACAGTTTGTTGCCTCGGGATGTCCCAGCATGGATTCTCGTTCTCACTCAATGGGGCGTTCTAGTAGTTCGGATGGAGTGAAAAAAACCGTAGCCTTAGCGCCGCTGTCCGGGCTCAATTTCCTCCATAAAACACTGCATGGTGTATGGCCGTTTTCATTGGTACGGTTGGTACATAAATGAAGGACGTTGAAGCCCCAGAAAATTTCCAAGACTACAAACTATGATTCCATGCATTTAAGTCCACCCTAACTAAAGAAACATAACTGTTGTTTCTATGATCCCAGGAGAAACTGATCCTTAATTTAAATCTACCTAAAGCAAAGAAACATAACAACTGTTGTTACTATGATTACAGGAGAAAACTGATCTTTAATTTAAATCTACCTAAAGCAAAGAAACATAACTGTTGTTACTATGATTACGGGAGAAAACTGATCCCTTCATTTAAATCTACCAAAACAAAGAAAAATAACTTAGTAGAAAACTGATACTTTAATTAACAACGTAGGATTTAAGATACAAAAATCTTCTGGGAATCGAATAAAAAAATGATTACGGGAGAAAACTGATCCCTTCATTTAAATCTACCAAAACAAAGAAAAATAACTTAGTAGAAAACTGATACTTTAATTAACAACGTAGGATTTAAGATACAAAAATCTTCTGGGAATCGAATAAAAAAATGGGCCAAATTGAAACTGCAATGTAATGTTAAGTATTTTTGCTTATGTTCGTAACTGTGTCGTAAAGAATTCAAATTACGCAGTCTTTCACAATTGTAGTGTCTGTAAATGGTATTGTATTATCATTGGATTAGGTACAGTAAAGGTCCCGACTCAATCTTCTCCTGGCAGTTGGCCCAGGTTCCTAACAGATCTGGACATATAAACAAACAACAAAGCTCTTTTAAGCTATTAGGCTTACAACAAACATTACTTAGGTTCAAACAAACGGTTACAAAATTCCAAATTCAACTCATTGCATCCTTAAAAACCATCGAATTTAAGAACGACGGAAGAAGACTTTCTTTTAACTTCGGAGAAAGCTCTTAAGATAAATCCTTGAGGAAGGTAAATATCACTCATAGATAAGATAATATTATAGGCGGGTTCATTCAAACTCAGTATCATCGACACATATTTTATAACATTCAAACAATATTATCTACAATGAAATAGCTCAGTGTTCATCTGTGTACATTATATTTTCACTACAAAGGTAAATATACAGAAGTGTGACTATGTAAATACATCTACTCTATTAAACAGACAGATAAAGAGAGAGAGAGAGAGAGAGAGAGAGAGGGGAGGGGGGTTAACTAACGTCCACTCGACACAAACTAGGTCATTTCGGGACTAACACATGGTTCAATTTTATTTCAATGATTCGCTTGCTCGTAGGGATAACGTCAACTTGACACAAACTAGGTCATTTTGGGACTAACATAATATGGTTCAATTCAATAAATCGGAGGAAACCGGAGAGAAACTGATAATGAATGATAAAAGAAAGGAATGAAGTTTTACGCGACAAGGACAGGTCACATAAAAAGTGAGGGTGGGGGATAGATTTTGTAGCATTAAAAAATGAAGCTATCATCAGATCCGGTATGGAGAACAACAGGCTTTTATTCTTGGCAGAACAATAGAAAAGGATTTTGCTTTGAGGTATTCATTCCCAAACATTCACCCGCCAACCTTACACACTAACAAATGTGTACCCCACACCGTTATTATTTGCTTGTTCTTTCGTTTATAATACTCTCTAATTTATTCAAGAACATTTGAAATGACTTTATCGCTGTTAGAAAACAAAAACAGACAAACCTCTACAGAATCGAATTTACGGGTGATAGGAATTTCTTCATGGTGAATATTGACTTTATCACATACACTCAATGCTGACCATTGTAGATTCTTGGCACATTTCACGCTGCAAAAATAATCGATATACATGCTAATACAAACTACCAAAGATATAGAAAGAACTTTAACCTTATTTACCCCTGGTTCTAATGTTATCTGTTCACACACATATTTTTTTCATTCCGATATAATTCAGCGATTTTAATTCCCAGGACTTCACTATACATAATTTTTCATTTTTTTTTTATTTCTAGTTTATTTACATTGAAACATTCTGGACGACATGGATTACAAAAGTTTTGATGTCTTCATAACCAGTGATGACATTATGCTTACTGATCGAGCGGCACGTCCTGTCGACGTTCCGTAATGCATTATCACAATATTTATTACAGGCATTGGCATTTTGAATTATTTGGAAAAATCCTTCTCAGAATGTCAGTATCGGTAAAAACTAAATGACCTAGAATAATATCTCGTGTGAAACTAAATAGAGCAAGACAAACAGTCGCAATATTTAACTGGGTGCCCCGGGCTCTCATTAAGACGTTGGCGCCTTCTGAACTTCCCATGCTATTTTTTGTTTTCATTTTTCAGTGTGCCGCGTCTGAGACGAAAAACTGAGACGCCATGTACAAATTGACAAGGCACGTAAAATATATATTGATAGTGGGACACCCCAAATCATAGAATTATTTTTTTAGTCTCAAAATGACTTAACTAACATGTTTATTTCTTTCCTTTTTGTTTCTAGTCATTTGTTAAAATACATCTTCTCATATTGCCGAAAGGCAGATTATGGATTAAGTCGGCTGGAAAAGGGGATGGGGTTGATTTTAAATGAGCTGAACTAAAACATAGCCTGTTTAAAAAAAGATTAGAAACAAAAGGTAACTAGTTTAATTATTGTATATTTTGTGACCCATCATGTTTGAACGAAATAACCCTTTGTACCAAAGTACATGTACACGGTTTTTTTTTTAAAAACGGAGACTATGATGCAAATGCCTTTTGGCGTGGCAGTGTGAAGGTTTTCTATATTTTAGTTTACGTGAGATTTTGTATGGTAATGTCTTTGATGCCCTGGTTACTCTGACACAAATATTACATGTCAGATCACAATGACCGAATACAGATTGTGTAATTTATTGTAATTTACCTGTCAGATCATCGTGACCGACTACAGGTTAACATTGTATAATTTATTGTAATTTACCTGTCATTGTCTTTGCATTTCAGCACAAAATACACAAAAGGAATTTCCTTTCTGCTGCAAATATCCGTTCCATTAATAGCTGAACCTTCTAATCCAATAATAGAGAAATATGTCTTGCATTCGCCAATTGGCTGAAATTATTTAAAATATAAGATTATGAGAAAGATAGGGAAATACAATACGGTTTCAATCTGCTAAACCCCAAGACTGATTTACGAATCAGGGTCAAAAGCGTCGCTCCAGCTAATTATAAGTAGTGACATGTGTCATACATGAAGTAGGATATGCGTATCCTTTTAGATTATTTGATACCACTTCTTGTTTGAGGAGTTTGCATATCCAGTACTTTTGTAATACAGTAAAGTTATTATTGTTTTCAAAAATACAACGAAACAGTAACACACAAACCAAATAAATAAATGAAGCTTACAGCTTCAGAGTCCTTAATCCCGAAGACATCACAAATCTGACTTTAGGTTTACTGTAAAGCAGTACCGTTACTATATAGACCAGGGATGTTTAAGGACCAACAGCTACTTAACTGTACTATAACTCAGTGTCCTGATAATATCACAAATAGGAATAGTAGGAATAAGTTCCTACTGAATTGGACGAGCGTAAGGATTTTGTGTTAATTTTGTTTTGTCTTTCATATAATAATCCTATAACGAACAGTTCAATAAAAAAGTAAATTTGTGGTCATCTGTCATAGAAAAACCCCTCTGAAGAAGACATTAGAGGTTGTCTAGATTACGACGTTGGTTGCGAGGGCCCACATAGCTCTTCCAGCTTTGGGGCTCTGGATAAGTAGGTCCGCCACTGCAGACAACATAACAATATATCAAAGTCTAATGAGTGTTACGGATTCGACATCAAAAAGACAAAACGGATGGAAATGTCCAAAAGTATCTTACAATAATCTACAAGAATCTACGATATAACCAAATTCTTGTATTGCTCGCTGCTAGCAATTTCCGCCGTGTTTTGTGGGTTGTCTGCGAGTATGTCTTCTAGAGTTATGATTACTTGTGTGCAGTGCGGTTCGCCTGCAATAAGCCCGTGTCGTGTAGAACTTAAAAAACATTTGGCTGTGTATGTATAATCAGATTTAAGATATATTTGCGAAATAATCAAAATCCCACAAACATTTTTAAGTAAATATATTGCCATATTAGTACTGTGAGAGAGACAGACAGAGAGATGGGTTTAACGTCCACTCGACACAAACTAGGTCATTTTGGGACTAACATATAGTTCAATTTTATTTCAATAATTCGCTTGCGCGTAGGGGTCTTTTGCAGTGAGGGGAAACCGGAGGACCCGAGGAAAACCCACGAGGTTGGACAGGCGACCCTACTCCTCGCCACGGGGAATCGAACACACACCAGTTGACTCAATGACAGACCATATGTTACAACGCGCAAAAGCTAACCATTCGGCCATCCAATCCTCCAAGATTAAAAGAAGTTGCTATAATAACCCCTTCCCATTATTAAGGACATATGGCTGCAGTTTCCAGGTATCCTGTAGGGCTAACAGGTTAGTTCCACTGATCAATATGTTAATACATATATTATTTATGTTTCCAGAATCCGAATGATTCTTTATATACAAGAATATACAAGATTGAACGTTCCGTAACTGAATTAGCTCAATCCTTGATATTTTATCGGCCGATCACCATCGCTGCATGTTTTGATTACGTCACGAATCTAATCACATCACCTCTGTTTCGGGCCGGACAAGAAAGTTACGGGAATCAGTTCCGTGTCACTCGATCGCAATTCCGATAATTAGAAACGTTCTACGTTGACAATCGAGCGATTCCTAACAAATCTTCTAGTTTATTTGCTATACAAGATTTCAAAACATAATTTCGAATTGTGTATTTGGGTTTACGAAACTGTACGTTTTGAAACGTTATGTAGCGAGTAAATCAGAACTAACATATTATCTCGAGATATGTACATTTAGTGCTCATATTCCACTTTTTTAAATTTCGAAAAAATAATTTAATGTTTCCTCATTGCTTTTTGTAAAGTATGACAGATATTTTAAATTTTGTAATTTGTAAAGTAGTCCTGTTAATACAAAAAACATTATATGGAACACAATTACTATTTTATTTAAAGCGACGTTTCGTTGAGGGTTCTCTCAACGTTTTCCATATTATGTTTTTTGTATTACGTATGTCAATTGCTAAATGCCACTCAAAGAAGATAGTCCTGTTAAGATACAAAAATATATTCTCAGCGAATCTTTTAACCGTTAGTTGCTAATCCACGGTGATATATTTAAAATAACTAATCTGTTACAAATATCGGGGGGGATCTTTTTCTAAATGTGTACAGTATTTGAATAAAAAATAAATCAACAATTTTAGGAAACGATATGGGAGCCGGTTATGGCACCGCATTTGAAAGAATATGAATCATTGGGTCCGGGGAGGTTGTCTTACCCCTGATGTGAGAAAAGCTTATATATTCCCGCCTACCTTAGACGAGTTTGGGGATGTTAGAGCTTTTCGCTTAGTGTTTACCTAAATAGACATCCCCTCTCTTAAATAAAGCGTGTGATTTTCATTTGACATTATAGATATTGCCCCGCTGCTTCCCTCTTTTTAAATTTGTTCCATTGTTTACTATAATAAAAATGCCCTAGGCTGTAGCCTTAAACATGTATTATGTAAAATTTAGAAACACAAATAGATAATGCAAAATGAATACACTGAAAATTTCATTCAAAAATTATTTTATTCTGGGCGAAGTTATCACTGTTTGGAGTTTTGACAATATGTGGCATTGATTGTTTAATATCGTAACAACGGTAGGTGTTGTTCGTGACTTATCCTCGCTTCTCCATTTTCAAATTATCATTAAATGGCTGAAGCTTTCTAATGTACTCAATATCGGGGCCATCCGAAGACCTAGAAATTTGATAATCGGCTTGTTATGTTAATAAATGTTTAAATAATTTGCATTTAGCTCTTACATAATGCATCCTTCATTAGCCCAGTCGTAGTAGAACAGTAGGACGTTAAACCCCATTTCATTTCATTAATACGCATATAAAAATATATCTTAGTTACTTCTAATAACTGAACAGATTTATAATATTACATTAATATAGTACGGAACAGTACGGCAAATGGGTTTTACAAATTGGCCCTAGGATTATCGGATTTATGGAATTTAGAACTTTAGAATTTCTACAAGGTCCGTTTTGTCCCATCAGCATTAGCTATGCTTAAAGAAACATTTGATATCAAATTTTAAAGGAGACATTAGGTTAAATCAAAAAGGTGTTTTGCAAGCTTTCGGTTTATTTATGTTTTATAATGCGATGCCAATATAAACTTTCTTCTAACTAATTTGAACTAAGAGTGAAAAAGGACGGTTTTCACCCAAAAGTCAAAGATATTTTTCACACGATTAACACACAAACAGAAATGTTAAGGTACAGCCGGCAAATATTTACAGCCTCACTGATAAAATATGAAGAAAAATATTGACACTTGTATTTATTTATAAGTGTTCGTTTTATTGAATTGCGAAACATAATATTGGCTATTCTGAAATAGTATACAATTTTGACCATTTATACAATTTTGATGTTACCGGTGTCTTTAATAGAAGTGAATTATGAGGTGTGAGAAAACAATTGATTATGTCTCATTATTGACTCAGTCTAGAATTTTGAAAGATATCTGTTTGCCATTATAATGACGTAATTGGCTTTGTCAGGAATGTTATTAAAAAAAGTAACTGACTGTATAAATAAGTTATGCATAGCCACATTAGTTTTCAACATGTATTTAAAAAAGGGAATATTTGTAATTTTCAGTAAAAATACCGGATTTTCCGCGTTTGACTAATAAAGTCTCACTAGAACTAAGATTCCATTTTTAAAATAAGGACTGAAACCTGTCCATATCTAAATAATGCAAGTTACAACAAAAACGTAGGTTTAATACCAAATTGGCCTTGATGAATATAAATGCTTTATCGTTCAGGTGTCAGCAGATGATTCTGAATAAAATCAATAGATGAGAATAATTTCCGTTAGACGTCATCGATTTGAATATGCTTTTAACTGGTATGCCTTTTGGTTAGACTATTTTGTATTGTGTGTGGTCTGAAGATCTATTGATTATTCTAAAATATATCGTCTTTAGACACGAAATACTGAATAGACTAAATATTTATGCTATTGAATTCCCCCTTTTAATTCCTAATACATACGTTTCTGGTGATGAAACAAATCCCCAATATTCTAATTGTTTTCAAGTCAGGATTATACAGACCGTGTCATTTATATGTATTCGCGGTGCACTTAAAGATCGTAGAGTTTTTACATTCGAAGCATGGTAAGAAAAATGTAGATTTTACAGACAATTCACGTAATCATAGAAAAAAGCATGTGTAAGAGAAACTCATTCCCATCGCTCATCCCCCTCTGCCCAAATACAAAAGACAATTATTAATTATTCAAATAATTATTTCGATTCATGTTCTATACAAACAAGATTGGTTTTATATCGGTTTATTTCTTAGGAAAATGATTGCTTTTACTTGCCGAATCAATAATCTGCCAATACAATATGTAGGTCTCTCCGAAGGGTTAATGTTTACTTGCATCATCAATAACCGATTTCCCTGACAATTCAGTTTCCAAAGCCCCGCGTTCAGAACGATTGATCTAAATAACTATTTGGGTAGGACTTAAAGGAGCTAAATCGCTAATATTTGTGATCTAGAATTGACACAAATGGGTCTCAACGCATACAATAATGTAATATAAATGTATATAAACTGATTTACATTCAGTCGTTTCCGTTTTTATTTCAAATCAGTTATGTTCGGCGAAATACGCCAGAATTCTCAATCGAATGGCAATCTCTAGTGTCTGGTTAGTCCAGTGTACACCCCATGCTCTCCGGATAAGAATATGAGGCGTCACCGTTCGACGTGACTTGTGGAATATGTCTAGCCTCGTTCTTGGAGTCCCTTGTTACAGAAGGCGCTAAAATGCATTATGGTACACGATTCGTGTACTAATGGTAAAATGTTTATTTTGTCTTAAACATTGGATATCAGAAGCCCATCTTTTCCCGGTAAAATCACAAAATCAATGTTGATTTAGATTGACAAATAATTCGTCGAAGACTTTGGATGATACTGAGTTAGAGACTTAGAATCTCACACTGTACTACTGTGCTATAATTTTGGCATCACGTCACCATATTTTTTCCCAATCAAAACTTTTCATCGCAATTTATGCTAATAATTAATATTCAACAAAATGCAAAATGCAGGGGCGTGTAATGGCGGGGTGGGGGGAGGGAGTATCGAATCAAACTGTAAAACTAAAATTAAATATTTTTAAATTTGAAATTATCGCTGTTAACTTTGGTGTACCAGCTGCCATAATTACTTTTAATTTTATTTCATCTATGGTTCCCATTCTTCCTTTCCCACATTGGGCTCTACACTTAGATTTCGGGGCATACAATTAAAGATTTGGCCTCTGGGCATCACCAAATCTCTGCATAGCACTGACTGAATGCTATTTCTATAATATCCCAACATATATATATATAATAAATGCCTGAAGAGCAACTACGGTTGTGAAAACTTTAGCACAAATTATGTAGTTTCATTTCGACAACATAAATTTTACTTTACGCTTATGCTAATATTTCTGGAGATATATATATTATATATATAACATAACGCAGGAAGGATAAAGCAATATTTTTCAGTTTCATAGTTTGCCGATCCTATCCCAGTGGTGAAGGAAAAACTGAACTTAATGACTCACTAAACAATCAGCTTTTGGCAAATATTGTAGTTACCTATCTGAATAATTAAATATATTCGTAGATAAAGACACGCATGGGGTGGGTGTTTCAAGGAGTGTTTTATAGCATGTTACAAATTCATTAATATAAACAAACCGTATTGCATGTTCTATTGTACAGCGCAACGCCCTCCGTATATCTACGTGTCAACATGTAGGAATGAATGTGAGGTCAGCTTGTTAAAAAAATGAAAGTGGTCTGATATTGAATGTGCATGATGATTTGAGCTTGAAGTGTTTTTGTAAACTGTTAATTTAATGTGACGCATATAAGAGTGACGGTTACTAAAAATATATTGGGTTAAAATGAAGTAGTCTTTATATCCATTAATACGAATTTTATATAATTTTAATATAACGCACCATACTGTCTACAATTACGTGTGTCATACGTTTATGTGTTTTTCTTTCTAGATCCTAGTTCGAGATAAAAAAAAAAAATATACGTGTGCAAATTAAGACATCGTATTTTTTTTCTATCACTAACCGAATGAGGAATACGAAGGAGATAAAATGGTCTTTTAAGACTAAAACTTGGTGTAAAAGGTGTAAACTGTTGAAATGCTTTGGAATAGAATGTATTATTATGTTTGTTCGCAAGGAAGAGGCGGGGGATGGCCGAATGGTTAGCACGTACGCGCTGTATCATAAGGTCTGTCATTGAGTCTCTTGGCGTAATTTCGATTCCCCGGCTGTACGTGACAAGGAGTAGGATCCCCTGTCCAACCTCGGGGTTTTTCTCCGGGTCCTATGGTTTCCTCCCACTGCTAAAGACCCCTACGTGCGAATTATTGAAATAAAATTGAACCATGTGTTAGTCCCGAAATGGCATAGTTTGTGTCGATTGGACGTTAAACCCCATTTCTCTCTCTCGCTCTCTCTCTCGCTCTCTTTCTCTCTCTTTTGTTCACAAGATTAATCATGAATTTACATCGAAATGGCACTACACGGGAGTTTTACACCCTTTTTTTTGACATCTTACAATATTCAATTTTAATTGTTCTATGAATTTTTAACTTATTTAAATAGGTCGAATCGTTCAGATTCTCACTTTGGTAGAAAGTTAAATTGTATTGAAATCCTAGTTTTCATTTTAGTACATGCTAATCCTTCATATTATGTTATTAGTTATTCATACTTCATGTATTTTTATTAAATATTATGCTTGTTGTAATATGGAAATAGAGCATACAACTTCATTACGATCTAATTATAGAGTATGACCCCTCAAGAGCCCCATTATATAGTAAAGCTATGTGTCACTTCTAATACAGAGGTACAGAATTAATTTTAATAGTTAAAACTAGTTCAATTGAATCTCTCAACTAAATAAACAGATGCAAGTGTTCTAGAAAGTGTAAGCATATCCTGCCTCGTGTAAGAAACCATCACCACTTACAGCTACTTTGAGTATATAGTTTATATCTATGATTTCCCGAAAGGACGCTGTGGCCGTTGAAGTGGTCACTTGAAGCGTTTACTTTTACTTATTTCGTTAGCTAATTCTGGATCAAAAAACCGAATGGGGTTGAAGTTGGGTCTGGAGACTATTGAAATGCTACATAGTTGAAATAGTACCATAAAATGACTACATGGCTACAAATATTGTATTTATCTTAGAGGAATAATTGTTGCTATACCAATTAGCCAAGCTTATAGTATTTGTATAAGAAAGGGAAGATATTTGCTAAGGGAGATACGGTATTATTCTGGTGTTCTGAGGTGTACTTTGGCAAATGTCATTCACAAAGAAATTATAAAGACAATAGTGTGTTGTCTGTAGACACTAACTAAAAGTCATCTAATGCTTTACATAATAACGTTAACCACAATACCGAACCTTGACGAATGGCGTCATTAAACAACCAGCTCAATGCAACATTCAGATAATATTTCAGTGCATGGCCTATAATAAGATAAAGCTATTTATTAGAGTGATGGATCGGTAACTGATCAATCGATTTATTATATCCTCTAGGTAATTCTTTAGTCATTTAAGATAGAATTTAATTGAGATCATCAAAAAAAAAAATAATTTAAGGAACTAATGGTGTTTGGATAAAATAAAAGTAAAGATAATCGGTTGAAACAAATTATGTCATCAATTCTAAATTTTCATCAAGAAATTCATATTAACATACCTTGGCTTGAATTACTGCTATCGTGAAAATCCACCAAATACTGAGTTCGGCTAATTTTGTGACCATCTTTAGTAGAGCAAAGAAAACTATTTTGATGAAAATATTCCTCTGACTTGAAGATAAGACTAACTTAAGTTTGTTATCAAGTTTGTGTTATGAGACACGCCTCCAATTTTAATACCTATATATAGAAATCTCCTCCTTAATCAAGTTTTTCTGGAATGTAATGAAAATATGACGATGATGATAACAATTCGTTATATTCCCGCCTTTCCGTGTTCAGCTTACAAAAGAAAGTCCCACGTAATAAGTAGTTATTCCAAGTCAGTAACTGAAGAAACGACAAAAGCTGTTCTTAAAAATACCCTTCTCTGAATGAACGTGTACACACTAGACCAACCACTTCAGGTCTGACAGTAAACATTGTCATTTGGTCCTCTTTACACCAAATGTTCTGTTATTTCATTGGTTCGTCCGTATTTGCTTTTTGAATACCGCGCGACGTCCTCTTCAGGAGAACAGACGCCTAATTTAAGTATCGGATTTTCTGATGAAATGTTAATATAAAACAGAAACATTTGTTGGGTTTGCTTCATTCTTTAATTCTTATTATTTTTCTGAAACGGATTAATGTTAAAACAATAGTTGATTTCAGTCGGTTTATCTAATCCTGGTAGTTTACACTATATGCACACATCGCGGATAATTTTTAAAGATAGCCATAATATTATTTTTCCAGATCAATACAGTGTGAATTCTTTTCAGAAATTGAATAAATAGATTCACAATAACGGCATTGTAAAGTTAGACGAAACATCCAACAAAGCTTAAATGCCAGAAACCTGTTTCAAATATTACATTTTTCGGCTATGGTTATTCGTTTGGGCTTCTTGGAGACATGTACGCGAAAACGCGCCAAATACTTGCAGATCAAACCCCCTCCAGGTCAAATCGTCTTGTTTACAGGGATTTCTCTTGTATTGCAGTAAATGGCTCAGGTTAAACCTCTGGTTGTCCAAACTAAAAGAGAACCATTCACGATGAAAGCAACCCATGGTTTCCAGCGAGCTTGGTTAAGTTGCGGTCAAGAACGGTTGATTGAGGTCACGCACGAACTGTCCACAAGAATATCAGAGGGACAAAAAGAACGGGATCGATCACTCGACCGCGTATGGCGCTAGGACCATGGGGTAAACATAGAAATACAGGGTTAGAAAATATATGGATTGAATAATACAGACAATGTTTATAATAAACCGTCTATATAAACCCTAAATAAGTCTACGGGAAAATATCAGAATAATATTATATCTATTAAACGATAATTACTATATGTAGTATCATAGTTTTTCCACTATATTATTATATTATTCAAAGATATATCAATTCTGTGCAGTCAAAATATGTAACTAGCCACACGGTTCATGGCATAAATAACTTATCTACAGTAAACATAGAAGTACTTGTAGTTTTTCTACTTTCATATATATAAGAGATCGTATCCCGTGTTTCCCATGTTTATAATGTTTTATTTAAACCGAAAGAAATAATTAATAGATCCTAGTTATATTCGAATTTATGATTCAGAAATTTACATAGAAAAGATAGAGGAGTATGCCCATTGTTATTCCGAGCAGAAATAAAGCGGCCTTTTCAAGTAGTGTTGCATGGTTACCACAAAACGAAATATATATTTTTTTTTGTTTTATGTGCAGCGGAGGCAATGGAACTGAATGTAAAATGGTTCTCCTGATTTTTATTCCCCTAATTATTCTTCCAGCGACTGCTACGCCTTATAAGATATGTTATGTCCAAGGGGATGGGTGTGTCGAAAATCACGAGAACCATTTTCTATTTAGTTCCATCACCTCCGTGTATATAATTCGCCACCCGGTGGCAAAAAGTAATTTGTAATCCGTTTTCGTTTTTTTTAAATCGATATTCTTTCCCTGTCTGTTCATGATGTCTGGTCGAAGGGTGGTGCATTTAAAATAAAATAGTTTAACTTTGTCCTAAAAATGAACAGACAACATTTTCTTTTCAGTAAAAATGCGAAAATAACTACTACTACGTATACTGATTGACACAGTGTGTGAGTGAAATAGCTTTATTTAACTCCGCTTCCAACGAGGTGATATCGCAGACAACTTGACTCCCTGCCCTTTTTCGCTCGACAGGAATAATATTGGATTAGGTTTGTATTTATAAGTGCAAACAATCTATTCGAATTTTAGGTTTACTGTATAAAACGGGTGGTTCTGGGATATCCACTCCGTAAAATAACCAACAGTTCATTTAATACAAAGTTAAGTTATAAATTGGTTCCGGAAGTTTCGCACGTCGAGAGGGTGATCAAAGGGCTTCCCGAAGATACGAATTTCCGAAGTAAACGCTGAAATATAGTATATTAAACTTTAAGGTCGGGCGCAAAGTATATTAAACTTTAAGGTCATGATTAAGGTCAAACACAAGGTATGATGGAATAATAAGGCCAGACAAAAGATCAAACGGTTGAGGAAAGAATAATAAACGATGTTCAAACACAAAGTATATTGAATTGTAGGGTGATGAGTAAAATAGAGTTGGGCAAAGAAAACAAAACGTTGTTGAAGCACCTCCAAATTTCATTAAATATTTCGAAGATAATACGAATTTTATTTACGTGCTTAGCATTGTACATCCGTGTTCTAAGTCCCTTACAAGACTTAATTGATTTTCCAGAAGCGAGAATCAAAAAATAAAAATAAAAGTAAAAAAAAAAAAAAAAAATCAATCGATCGCACAGGTTGTATGTTTGATGCATACAAAGAGAAACATTGTTTAGCAATGTCTACCCGTAACCACAGCTGAAGTTGTTTGTTGGCACTGATAATGTTAAATAAAAATAAAAAAAACAACGTTTGATTGTTAAAACATATAGAGTTAGTGCAGACTAGATTGGGTCAGCTACAGATAATCATGTAATTTATTCGTTACGTTTTCAATTTTTGTACTTTAGTCGTACTACAGCACCCGGTTTTCAGCGTGATTAGATAGCCGCGGTGGCAGAGGCGCGCGCTTGCTAACCTCGGAGTTCCGAGTTCGATCCGGGCTTCTAATAGTAGGCCGTAGCACACTCACTGCATTTGTAAAATGGTTGGTCGTAGCGCCGCTGTCCGACAAAATATCCCCATAGCACACTGCATGGCGTATGTCCGTCTTCATTAGCCCGGATGGAACAGAAAAGTAGGACGTTAAACCTCATTTATCTCTACTAAAAATGTCAATTCATATTTACATTACATGTTTTAACTGTACTTAATACAATATAAACTGGTGAAACTCCTCGTCAACGGAACACTTTGGTAATATTTAACACTAACTATAAGATAACTTATTTTCATTGGATATGATTGCGCTATTTTGTTCCTCATCTGAAAGGCTAGAGTACTTTCTATCAGTAACACACCAGAATTGGGGAGGTTGTTATAAATTGTTCTTGTTCAACATACGTTTTACTCAAGCCGAATTCTTGTTGACCTATTTTACCCAGCCTAGTCTTACAAAAATAGCGCCGAGTTATAAATTTCATTGATTCGGAAGTCAAGTCAGTCTTAAGAGTGTCTCTCGTACAACGCCATGAAAATCATTCAAGAGTATTAATTTGAATTATTTCTTTGAGCTTATCGTCCAGTTGGCCTAGACTATCTCTTTGTACCAAAAACAATAATTTGCATAGTATTCGGAATTTTCAAGTGTGGTACACTATTGGTCAACATGAAGTGATAATGAGACTGAAGGCCACACTATGTCAACTTCGACAAGGTTCGTGTTTGTATCTCACACTTGTAAAATGCCTGACGTCTGCATTTTTCAAAGATCATCTGATCAGGTCTCCGGACTGTACAAGGACAGTCATATATTTTTCTGAATTCTGATATTCAAAAGTAAAGAAATGTTATCCAACGTCCTTCTTTTGTGTACCAACCAAGCTTATGGGTCATTGTGCATCAACCAAGCTAATGATTCATTGTGCACCAACCAAGCTCACGAGTCATTGTACCTGTGCAAATAAGCTTGTGCACAAATTAAAACAAATTCTTCCTGGTTGCTTTTACCCCAACGGACCTAAATCTACATCCATGTATAATATTATGTAGTTCAGTACATTCACAAAGACACACCCTAAGTTTATCTGAGAACCAGTACATTCTATAGGTCATTCATTCATTTTATCATTTGTATTCGATTTATTTGACAGAGACTAGTTTCAGCCATTCAATTTAAAACCTGGTGGAAATTGTAATGGGTCATCGCCTCATTTAGATCGTACAATTAAATCGGATTAAATATATTTAATGGCCTGCTTAATGCGATGAAGGAGGTGTTAGTCTACAAATTCCCATTTTTAATGCTTTTTTACCTGCACGTCTCTAGTTTTCGTCGAAACCTTCTAAATAAGTAAGAGCCGGAATGGAAATATTCCGAGGGTTTTCCACGCCAGAGTTAGAACACGAAACATTCTAAGCCGGACACCGCAGAGAGGATCAACTGTTTTTAATGAAATGTTAAAATTGAATTTGTCTAATTTCCCCCCGAGACAATTAATTCCATGTCGCAATTTGTTCTACGCCAAATATTTTAAAACTTGGATTCGTTTTAGTTTGCTTCTAGGTTATTCGCCAAAATGTTATGCAATTGTGCACAACAGGCGGCTTAGAGTAATCCCAAAAATGAATCTCAAAATAATCTCCAAGAATTCGATATGTGCTCCCGATGCCAAAATAATAACGGAACTCTTTGATTAATGGCTTAATTTTAAAATCCACGATTCAAGGACACCCCGACCTAAATAAGATCGAAATATTTTCAGATTTCCTTCCCAGTTCCAGAAACAATATAATTCGACCAAATTTGTAAATTTCAGTTGTATGTTATAGGCAAAGTATGAAAGTAAAGTCGATTTCAGGAATCGTGTTTGATTGGAAAATTCAGAAATTTGACAGATTTTTTTATGCCTTAATCAACAATACCACCGAGTTTAAAAGTTTTTGTCAAGGAATTTGTATATAACATGTATGTGTGTGTGGGGGGGGGGGGGAGGGGGGTAATATCATTTTTGAAAGAGTCCTCTTTATAAACAAATGAACAATTCCTGCAATTTTAAAAAAAAAATGTTCAATTTTTCACAAGAGGTGAAAGAAGACAATATTCCATCCACATTAAACATTTCTCTTTTCAAACGATTTGAATCGCCATTCACAACTTCACGTGCAAAAAGGTTTATTATATGCATTTATTTATTACTTGTTCACTTTGTTCTTTTAAAACAAATACCATTCTAGGAATTGCTTTTGCTTTAGGACATCGTGTGAATAGAAATCATTACTAAAAAAACACCATCTTAATAAAAAAAAATCATTTGACATTTAAGAAATCCCCCATGTCATGACACAG